GAATCCAAAGCAGGCTCCAGGCTCTGAGCTGTCAGCACAGAGCCCAACGCAGGGCTTGAACCCACAAACCGTGAGATCATGACCTGAGCTGAAGTTGGAGGCCTAACCGACTGAGTCACCCAAGCATCCCATCCTTCATTTTTAATTTTTAAAAATTATGTATGTAATCTTTTTTAAGTAACTGGGGCAAAAGCATGTACTCCACTCTGAAATCTGGCTTTGGAGACCTGGCCAGGCAGCACTCTTATTTTACAAAAACTTGTACTCCAAGAAATAATTACTTTCAAAACATAATAAGAAATAGTTATCATATAAATATCTTTGTGCAAGAAACGTTTACTACTTGCGAAAAACACTCACTATTTATATATTTTTAAAATTAGAAAAACCCTGATGTTTCTCTTCAGAATGTATTAAAGCAACACTATGGCCTCCCTTAGTAAAAGATTCACAATGTGAAACCCTGGCTCCTTCTAGGTGAGGACTACTTAGCCTCGGGGTCACAGGAGCCCCATAGTCTGGGCTGTCGGAGTCCACTCAGTGTCACAAAAAGGAGAGAACAGAATCTTGCTTAACCAATCAGGACGGAAGAGACAAATGTTACAGCTCATGAAAGTAATTATAACCACTTAAGAGATGAGTCTGAAAATGTTTATAATATAACAGAAAACTGTCAGAACCTAGCTAAATGGACAGAGTCTGGTTCTTTTTTTTTTTTTTTAATTTTTTTTATTTATTTCTAGGAGACAGAGAGAGAGACAGCGTGAGCAGGGGAGGGTCAGAGAGAGAGGGAGACACAGACTCCGAAACAGGCTCCAGGCTCTGAGCTGGCAGTCAGCACAGAGCCCGACGCGGGGCTCGAACCCGAACCCACGAACCGCGAGATCGTGACCTAAGCGAAAGTCAGACGCCCAACTGACTAAGCCACCCAGGCGCCCCAGGACAGAGTCTGGTTCTTGCCTGAAACTCTCAATGTAGCCCAGTGCCTGCCTGGGTGTTCCTGTACTTCACAGTTCAAATACTGTTGTCTGGAAGCCGCTGTCTACACCCTGCGGGACTTTAAAGCACTTCCCAAGCTTTTGTACAGCTCCTGGAAGGCCTAGGACTCCGAGTTCCCATTTCACTGCATTAATTCCGTTGATGGCTCATATGACCTGTGCCTGCTCAGGGGGAACTCCTCTCCTAACTCAGTCTTCAGCCTCTAAATCAACACAGCACCCCCCGCCACAACACCATTCCTGGTAGAGTGTGTACCTGTCTCACCCCTTGGTGAAGACAGGGGAGGTTGTAACAAGTAATACAGATGCCTTTGAAGCACAAGGTAAATGTAGCAGTTAATTAAAGGGCTTCTGATCACTGCACCACTGCAGACTTTCTCATGGGCCATTTCCCTTCATATAGCATGGGCCAGCCCCCCGCTTCTCAGTGGCCCCTTCTTCGTGCTCTCCTTTTTATCTGGCTTGTCATCCCCTTCCACCCCGAGGGTCCTAAATTGTTCGTGCTGAGTTACACAGAGCAGCTCAGCTCTCCCCAGTCTCTGCTCCACAAATCAGTCCTTTTGCATCTCAAAAACAAGCAAGCCAGAAGGCCTTTAATTTAGCTGGACCAACATTTCTAGAAAGCACTTATTGTTGTTAACAGCATTTATCTTCCTCTCGCACATCTGTAGGAGCTTTATTAATTCCTTTGAAAAGCCAGTTCTGAAATAGAAGCTCATAGGCTTGTCAGTATCTGTATTCTCGTGTCTGGTGGAAGAGCTAGCACTTAGCTCGATTCAAGTGGCCGGGCTTCGGCTCTACGGCAGGGTAGACTTAGATGTGGCTAGTGTCTGCCTCAGTTTCCAATGTCTTGCTCTATATTTATCTCTATATTATTCAGCCCGACACGCAAGGGACTCCTTCTGTCAATGTCCTGCTCTGCAGCCTCATTTTCCAAAATTCATCTCTCACTTGGTCTCTTGTACCTAGTCTGTGTTTACAGAATGTGATTGGGCGTGGAGACCATAATTGATTATCCCTTATGGGTCCCCGAGTGATGTTCCTAGGAGCCTTCTGCAGTGTGTGTTATTTCTCTGGCTCATTTCCAGACTCCATAAAAACAATAATGAGAAACTCTCTTTCTCTGACCCTCCCCCCGCCCCCTTCCTGGGAGGTAGTAGATATTCCATAATGTGGTCAGCTCTTTCTCCGGATTCGCTGATTCCACAAATTCGTTCACTCCGCAAACATTTGTCCGCTCCGGGATGAGAGGTGGGGACACGGCCAGAAACCAGAGAAAGTGTTCCCCCTCTCTGAGTTCATTTCTAGTTAGTAGAGTATTTTAGTGCTAAATGTTGTGCTGGCACCAAAACAGCACCCTCTCCTATCAGAACCAGAGTAAACTCCTGTTGAGGTTGAATGCGGCAAACAGAAATGATGAAACTTGGTACTTAATGACGTTTCTTCATCTCAGTGCACACAACTCCTACCCACCAGCCACATCTGCTCTTCGATCGCACGGTGATTCAAGTGTGGGTGCTGTGAAACCTTCCTTCTTCAGAGTAATTCCGCCTGCAATGAAAAACAGTATATTTTAGCTTTTCAAATTATAGCTCTGAAATGTGAATTTCCTCTTCCCTCTCCTTAAGACAGCCAGCCCCTTCTTATATTTTATATACATATATATATATATATATATGTATGTGATGAGGAGGAAAAGTCAGAAGATAGAAAGTACTGTACCATGTCTCATTATAAATATAAACACAATATTCTCCCATTCATTATGTGAATAAAATGCCACCACAGACCTTATGAGTAAACATTTCCATTTTAACACTTCTTGATTATATTGTATCCATTTTACGATGCGAAGCTTTGGCAAACGCAGCAAGAAAAATAAGTTAATGTAATCACAATGAAGGTGGTTTACTGAGAAAAATCAGTTAAAGGGATTCCCTCTTCTGCCAGCATTCAGCATCTCAGTAAGTGAATAAACACACACAAACACACACACACACTATATATATATATATATATATATATAATTGGAAGCAGTTTATCCTAAACATTGCTTTTCTAGGTTATCCTCTTTAACTCACCCTCTGAGATTTATAGTGCAACCATACCAGTTCAGAGTGGGAAGAAAAAAAAGGCCATTTAGTAATCCAATTCCTTGGGGAAAATACTTAGGCAATATTAAGAAATCTTCAATTATCTAATTTAATAACAGGGATGTTTCTAGTGCGTAGTCAGTCACATGTGATACTGATTATTTCTAATCCCTCGGAAGAAACCTAACATTCTGCATTTGGTCCTGTATAGCGTGAAATCAGGATGTATATTTTACCAAAAGAAGTCACGAGAATAATGGTGTCCGCAGTCTGTAGTCATTTTATTCTAACACACTGCAATATGGCTGTGCCCCGGGGCAGAGAAGGAGGGATTTTCTCTACTTCAAAAGAATGAAAAATTATCATCACTATCCAGAACCATTACAGACTTCAGAGACTTTGGCATGAAATATTCAGAAAGTTTATTTTAGAATTCAATATTTTAAAAGCCTGCTTTAACACTATTACAGTGACTAGTGGCTCTGTTACTTGGGCCAGTCTTTGCTTTAAAAAGCCCTCTGTCAGGGCGCATATCAACAAAACGTAATTTGCATCAACCACAAAGGCTCTACATAAGGAATATAATGCATTGTTTTCGAATGGCTCCCTCCCCCCACAAGAGGAACTGTGACCACGACCACTACTTATCAGATACCCTTTCAAACATCCTTCTTACATAAACGTTACTTGTCCCGGTAATGGTGGAAATATGTTGCTAATGCCGTGTGACATGAGTTCTCATACCCATGTGGCATGGGCGCTATTTCTCTGTCACTGCCAAGGGAGCAATGGTCCTGTCTCAGCGGTTCTAGGGACACACGGGGTCAACCCACCTGAGGCCACCCATACTCTTAGCCGAGCAGCCAGAGGCTCACGTCTTCACCACTCCTCACAGTCAGAGAAGCTTCCTGGGTGTTCATGTGGACTTAACAGAACTTCCGAGGCCACAAGTAAAGCCAGTGAAAACTTCTGCAGCTAGAGTTAGCCACACGAAATTGCAATACAACCACTTTGCTCTGGAATATTCTGTGTAAGTAGGGAGGCAACGTGCAATAGAGTACATAGAGAGCCTTGGTTTGGAAATGTAACGTCTTCTTTTTTTATGTTTATTTTTGAGAGAGAGAGAGCGCGAGAGAGCGCGAGAGTGAGTAGAGGAGGGACAGAGAGAGAAGGGGGAGACACAGAATCCAAAGCAGGCTCCAGGCTCTGAGCTGTCAGCACAGAGCCCAATGCAGGGCTGGAACCCACAAACCATGAGATCATGACCTGAGCCCAAGTCAGACACTTAACTGACTGAGCCTCCCAGGAACCCCTGGAAATGCACCGGTCTTGATTTGAGGTCTAAGCCTGCTATTTAAGCAGCCAGTGTGGTCTTGTGAAAGTGGTGAACCGCTTTCAGCTCAGTGTTTCTGTCTGTAAAGTGGGCCCATCCCAGCATGATGCAGACATTCAAAGAGACAAGGAATGTAGAGGCAGTGCAGTGTGGGTGTCAATCATTCCCATCATTGCTGCTTATTCCCAAAACATTTTTCTTCTCTCTCGGTTTATTCCATGTTTCTGTTGTGTAATGCATATATATATTTCTTGATATATCACAGAAAACATGTGTAGGATGACTAGAAAAAAACCATCATTTCTGCTTTTCTTTAAGAACCCGTGCATTTGGCTTCATTCCATTAAACGTATTGAATATATTATTTTCCTAGGTTTTAATCAGTACCTTTTCCTTTCCTTCCCACCTTAGGTATTATCAGTGTAGGAAAAGAAACAGGCATCAACTTCTGCCTTCAAGTGGGGGCCTCTCACAAATAGACATGCAAAGAAATAAAGATTCTGGAGTGCTCTTGATGCAGAAGTGTGACAAAAGTACCTTGTAAATAGAAAAATAACTTTTCATTTCATTTTCCAGGGAAGTAGATCAAGACTCGGACGATCTTGTGAGCTTTAAAGACTTTGAATATGCCATGAAGTATGGAGGAAATGAAGCCTAGCTGTTGTGAACTGCATTTGGCAACTTCAAGGGAGACCAATAGATTGTTAATGTCTATTTCAACTTCAGTCTCCGCCCTTCTGCTCCGCTAATGATGTAATAATGCTGCGTACTTGTGATTAAACTTGGTCATGGTTTGCACATGCTGATACTACTTGCATCTCAGAATCCTAGAGGTGGTCATGACAGGTGATCGCCCACGCGGCCAGTGTCCCTAAGCCAGGCTGATGCTGTCACTGCCTCTGGGGCCGGCCCCCATCCTCCCCCTCACTCTCAACCCCCCCTCCCACCCACACTGCAGGCTGGGGTGCTCCACTCACTAGCCCTCTCCACTCCACCCACATGCTCCCTGATTCTCATTGGTTCCTACTGTCTGGGGAGAAGTCACTTTTCCCGCCAACGGTGCCAGTTTCCTTCCTGCATTCAACTTTGGTCAAACACTTAATAGCCCCGGTGTGAACTGAGTGCAAAGCATGGGAAAAACAAAGACTTGAGGTTTCCTTAAGATCACTTACCCAGTGTCAAAACCATCACTGAAAAATGTCCCCAGTGGCCCTCACAGTACAAGATTAAAAAAAAAAAACAAATTGGGCCGATACACGTAAGTCTTCTCCAGCTCAAAACAGAGGAAGACCAGAGTGTAGTAAGGAAGGATACCGGAGGCAAAAGATTTCTTTGCAGAGCCCTCTCGGACGGCTTGGGCCTGAGGTTCCTGCGGGGACCCAGCTGCCCTGTGCTGCACACTTCCCGGTGCTGGGTGGCTCTGCCTGCATCAAGGGCCTTGACCGTCTGTGCTCACATGCTCCATCTTTGGCCCGTCCATATGTAGGATCCGGTAATTGCTGTACTAGAACAAAAATGGTGACACTGGACCCTCAGCACTTCTTTTAAATAAATACTGGCATCAGTGCCAGCATTTTGTCTCTAAGTGTTCAGAAATCATAGCGTGAACGTTAGGAAAACATCGAATATAATGCCAACTTTAAAAGTAGTGCACATTTAAAGATCAAGTAAAACTGTGCATTTGTAAAATAGAAACATTAAACAAGCATCAATCTATCACACACTCTTAGCAGATAAACTTAAAAATAAGGTCTTAAGTCAAAGGAACTTAAGGAGACAAAACAATATAATGTGATGTTCTTGGAATAGGAAAAAGCACATTAGGTAAACACTGATAATGAATGGATTTTAGTCAATAAGTATTATCTTCACAATTTTTCTGTAAATCTAAAACTATTCCAAAATAAAAAAGTTGTTTAAAAAATCTTACTCAGGGGTTCCTGGATGGCTCAGTCAGGTAAGCATCCTACTTCAGCTCAGGTCATGATCTCGCAGCCTGTAAGTTTGAACCCCGCGTCGGGCTCTGTGCTGACAGCTCAGAGCCTGGACCCTGCTTTGGATTCTACATCTCCTCCTCTCTCTGCCCCTCCCCCACTCGCACTCGCTCTCTCTCTCTCTCTCTCTCTGTCTCTCAAAAGTAAATAAACATTAAAAAATAACAAATCTTATTCAGAAATTAACAAACTAAACATTATCAAAAATGAAGAAAATTTTGAAAACCATTGAGAAGTATGCATGAAATATTTCAAAAGCAGAGGATCCAGGATATATTTGATATCATGTGTGTTTTAATTTTTTTTTTAAGTTTATTTTTGAGAGACAGAGTGGGAGTGGAAGAAGGGGGAGAGAGAGGGAGACACAGAATCCAAAGCAGGCTCCAGGCACTGAGCTGTCAGCACAGAGCCCTATGCGGGGCTCAAACTCACAAACCACGAGATTGTGACCTGCGCCAAAGTCAGACATTTAACCAACTGAGCCCCCCAGGCGCCACCTATGTTGTAGTACATATTGTTGCAGCTGATGGAAAGCCTCTCTGACTTTGGATAGGAATTTTGTTCAGGAAGTGTTTTCATCATAAGGTTGAGTCATTGGTCTCATCTCCATATATAAGTGATACTAATTTTTTAAATATCAACATTAGAATAAGCCACTGACAAAGTGCCAGTATTTCAGTAACTGCCAGAATATGACAACCTCGCATTGCAGTCTACGTGGACCTCATTTCTCCAGGGAAACATGACAACAGAGAGGATTCACTTTCTCCAGTTGCTGTGGGGGGCAAGAGGCCAGGCTGGGAATAGCTATCAGGCAACTCCCCTGACCCTGGATTAGTCCAGGCTTTTTTCAGCCTCAGTGACAGAAACCTACTCGAACTAGCTTAGGTGCAAAGGGAACTTACTAGAAAATACCGGACTAACATAGGGAGGGCAGCGGTACAGCCCTGTAGTTTCAAGATAACTAGAACCAGCACTGCGAATACCTCTGGACTCCGCCTCTGTCCCGTAAGCACCATTGGCCTCACATGAGGCCAATTGTCCCGTGATCTGGCCAGTTCCAAGTCCAAAGACCTTGGAAACGGGATCCGGTTGGCCTCTGGATCAGTCAGCTCTGGTTCATCTAGAGGATATAGACATGGCCACTGGGCACTCCCAGGTATACTGAAGGCTGGTCACAGGGAGCAGAAGTTGACAAAAGCTAGGCAGCCATTCCATTTTCTTTCTTATAAGAATTTGCACCTAGTCTAGGATGGAGAGCCTCCCAAGGACCTGCTGCTTGGGAGGATCCAGGCTCTCAGAGCAAAGACCAAAAAGAAAGGGGAGGTGAGAAGCTGCTCGTGTCACCTCCTCTCCTTATCACCTTCCCTAGGCCCAACCCAAATCATCCTGTAAGCCTTCCCCTCAGCTTCTCACTTCCGGGCCCCAGCCCCGACCCTCAGTCTCAGGCCACATGATGCTGTCTGCATAGTGTGACCTTCTTGGTCTACCCTCAACTGAATGGTCCAAGGTTGGGCATCTATGCAAGTTGATCCACTCCGTTCCTTCCCTCGGAAGACATCAAGAACGAGAATGAGGGATACATAGCAGTTCTCCTCTGAGTGGCCGAGTGGGTGGTTATGACTCAGGAGAAAATGGCAGATATGTTTTCCACCACATGGCCTGGCAACCTGAGGCAGCTGGTTTGCAATGAGAGCAGAAAATTAACGAGAGAGAGAGGAGAACAAGAGAGATGGTGGGGAAACCCTTTGATACTTGCTTTCTGGTTAAAGCTTGTGTGCAAAGCCCAGTCATAACCCTTTGGGTCCTATGAGGTAACCCTGTATCCCTCCAATAAATCTTTCTCCTCAAGCCAGCTGGAGTTGCTTTCTGTTATTTGAAACCAAGAGAACCCTAACTGTTATAAGCATAGAGCCAAGGACAGGGGCCTAAGTAACATCAACATTTACTGGGGCAGCAGAGAAAAGAGTCTTCTAAAGAGACTAGGAAGAAATAGTTGAAGATGGGAAAGGAAGCTGCTGGCACATCTCTCTCCAACACCCAAATCTCTACTTGACCTGTCCCTATAATCTGTTTCAGCCTTCCCTTGTGGGAACAGCTCTCAAAGAGCTCACTGGTGATCTCCTAAAGGTCAAATCCAACAGCACCTCTCAGATCTCATTGTACTTGTTCCTTCCCCTGGGCCCCTCTCTCTTTAGCCTCCATGACGTTGGCCTCTTGTGATATTCTGTGCCCATTTTTCCTACTGTCTTTTCTCGATCCCTCTCCTGTGGCCATCCTGTAAGTGTTTGTATTCTCCATGCTCCTGTAATTGGCCAGTCTTCCTGATCAACGTTCTCCAAGGATCATTTCATTTGCTCTCAAGACTTAAGCTAACACCTTGATGGCCATGACTCCACAAAGAAATCATTAGTCTTGACCTCTGCTCAACCCAGACTTGTGTTTTCGTTTGCCTGTTGGACATTTCCACCTCAATTACAAACTCATTGAACTAAAACCAGACTTGTTGTTTCCTCTAATTTTCAAAATTGGTTTCTCACTCTGCTTTTTCTATTTCTGTTCATGGCAAGCACCCGGCCACCCACCCGAGCTGTCATCCAAGCCAGCTGCCTCGGGGTTCTTTTCAAGTCTCCCCCATCTTCCTCCACTCTGACACTGAGCCAGTCACTGACTCCATCTGTGTCTGTGTCTGCAGTAACTCTGTGCCATTTTCTCTTATCCCACCATGCCCCCCCCCCCCACTGTGTTCTGATTCCCACCGCCATCCTCTCATCTAGCCATTCTTGACATTGGTATAAAGAGTAAAGGATGTGCTGATAAGTAAGAAACAGACCCCACTGTCAGGAAATTTTGTCTAGCATGTCCATTATCTTCCCAAAGCACAGACAATGTTATTTTTTTTTTCTCCTCTCAAAAGCTTTTAGTAGCCACCTTTTCCATTGGATAATGTCTCTTCCTTTAATATGTCATTTGAAGCCCTCTATAATCTGGTCTCAACCTACACGTTCAGCTTCATCTTTCACAACTACCTCTATCATTCCCATCCCACAACTGGGTGACTCACACATGCATGTAGTCCCTTAGCCCCCAAACACCAAAAATGACAAGTAGGTCTTTGCCCCAAATAGGAAAGTAACAAATAGCCTTAGAATTAATATCTGATGAGAATGTAGGAAAATGCAACTATAAAATAATAAAATTCAATTAAGAAAACATATTGGGCCACCTTCATCCTAATGAATATTTCTCCCCCACAGTTGTCACCTTCAGAAGAGGGATGGGAACTAATTATGCTAAATATTTTGTATTTTTAAAAATTTTATTCTTGAAAATTTATTGAGATAGATATTAGACATCTTCTTTTACAAATGAGGAAACAGTCTCAGAGAGTCTAAGTGACTTGACTCAGGCCAAGTGATGAGGGTAGGTGGCGAGTATCAGGGTGACAATTCAAACCTGTCAACCTGACTAAATACAAATACCTTCCTACCATACTTCATTGCCTCCAGTGGGAAAATCGTCACATTGGCCATATTCTGTATTTACATTTTGGTTTTGAACCAAAATGAGTCTATACAGATTCATTGGCCACCCCAAGTCAAGCATCTAGCACATAATAGGTATTAAATATTAATTCCCATCTTTTGCATCACCAGGCTTAACTCAAACTCCATTGGGCAATTAATCAAATGCACTTTCCATTGGGTTATTAATCAAATCAAAGATTTGCCACCAGAGACAATCTCTTTTAAAGTGTGCTGCAGGCTTTAAAGACAATTTTCAAAGAAGAGTTCTAGGAATCCT